TTTTTTAATTAGATTCTTGCTATTTGTCCAAAATATAACGCACAAACAATTAAAACAATTAGATCTTTTAGCATGGATCTATAAACTTAATTCACGTTCCAAACACCAGATCTTTCAAAACGTAGATAAAATTTTTACATCACACAATTGGTGAAAAATGTTCATGATGGCAAAACAAAATCTAAATATATATATATACACACTATAGGACTTGTGCGGAATTTAACCGTAAACTTTGTAGAGTTTATGTTTTTTTTTTTTAAAAAGATATTATTTAACATTATAAGTTACAGTTTACCAGTCACAAACGGATGCATCAGTGCCTCTTTCACTGTTAGCCGTTTTTCAGGGTTCAAATTTAAACACTTATCTAACAAATCGACGAAAGCCGTCAGTAAACGTAACTCTTCATCGGTCATATGTGACGTTTTAGAGAGAAGGCGTGTTTTTAAATCGCGAGTTGGTTTTGTAATGACGGTGGTCTTTACAACCTCCTGATATATAAAAGTTAATACCGAAAAATTTTTAAATAATTAATTACATAACATGTAAGATATACGAACCTTATTACTAATCCGATCTGTTTCTCGATACAAGAAATTATAATCATCGTCAAAATGCTGTTTTGTGAATTGTCCCTTACGAAGACTCTTATTCGGAAATTTTCCTTTCAGTTCCATCATGAGTTTCAGCATTTGGTTGTTACTTCGCCCTGGAAAGAGAATTTTACCAGTGTAAAGTTCGTATAGAGTACAACCAACCGACCACATGTCTAATGCACAGTCATAAGGTAGCCCGATAACTACGAATCATTTTAATAAATTATTATCAAGCGTATTTATAGGCATAAAATAAATTAATATATTCATAACTTACTGATTTCGGGAGCCCTATAAAACCTACTAACAAGGTAAGGCGTAATATCATTTTCTGACGCATCGGAAGCTGAACCAAGATCACACATTTTGAGCGTATTTTTTGATTCACTCACCTAAAAAATGTAGATTTTCAATAACTATCCTAAATAGCGTTGACGAAAGCGACAATCACCTACCAATATATTGTCAGGTTTGATATCAGCGTGAAGTATATTGCATTTTGACAAAAGGGATAACGATAGGAATAATTGCTGTGCGTATATACGAACAGCCTTGATGTTTATACCAACATCCTTGCCAAATTTTTTCAAAACCTCTCTTAAATTCATACTGATAATAGAAAATAAAGGCAAAATAAATAATAAAGTGCATTAGAATTTTTTTTTTTTTTTTTTTTGCTAAAAAAATTAAATGAATTACCTTAATGATTCAAATACTAGGCATAAGTGCCCTTTATGCTCGAAATGTCTAAACAATCGAATTACATGCTTTTTATTTTCTGGATCAGATTGCATTAGTTTTTTGAGAATGTTTAATTCTTTTATACCAGCCCGATACCTAAAAATCAAGATCCATTTAATAAATCTTTCCTATATAAGCAAAACCAAAAATAAAATAAAATAATGTTAGATAAATACATTGTTTCGTTGTTTCTGATAATTTTTATAGCTACATCTATTCCTTCTTTTGTATCTTTAGCTTTGACG